TCGTGCAGGCGAATTTTGCGAGACATTGCCCTCGTTAGTTACAATCTCGAAATTCAAATTTGTGAAATTTCAGGTGCATTGGTTTTGTCCAGGCGTAGTCTTTTGCTTCGGGAAACAACCGACCGGGCAGAAAAAACGGAGTTTGGGAGCGGGCGGAGCCTCCGTCCGTTCCAACTTGAGGTGAATTCCGTGGTGAGTGTCAGACCCGAGGTCGACCCGTGGCCGAAGGAGCCGCGGGTTGTCACAACCTAACTGCGGGTTTAATTTTCTTGACGGTGCAGCGGCTGCATAGTCATGAAATTTCGCAAGGGGAGGGTTGCGACTATACTGGTAGAGCTTTTCCAGTCCAACAGAATTTACGAAGATATGACTGGTGGAAGTTAATTTGCGCGACTTTGTTAGTTGTTCGGTTTGACAGGTGACTGGCTGGAGCCGTCAATTTTTCGCAAGACCCAATGCAATTTTTTTCCAGCCTCGGACCTTCCCTCTAAACCCTCGGGTCTAACACTCGCTGCGGAATTCACTCTTACTACCCCCTAATGAACCTGTGGCCTGGTGGCGCACAGCTCTGTACCAAGGGAAGGGACTCACAGGCACCGACACCAAATTCGTGCAGCTTCACGATTTGCTGAAGCTTCCACACAGCGTGGAAGGCGAGTACAAAAACACGTGGACCAATACGGATAATTCATCACCATGCCCTTGTTTCCCTTTCAGGTTGCGTTGGTGGTGAGTGGTGGACGAAGCGAGTTTCATCGGCTCGGCGCGCTGGATGCCCAGCTCTGATTAGAGATACATTCTTCGCACCACCCCACAACCTTCTGAACCCTGGGAGAGGCTGTAAGAACCGTTGGTAAGGACCCCTCATCAATCTGACAAGTATGACAACCATTGCTCTCCATAAACACGAACTGGCTGCCAACTAAGTAGCGACTGCCTCGCCAATTAGTTATACATCGGCACCTCCTTAGATACCGCCTGTAATTATACCGTTTTGCTACTCGAGCCCCTTGACACTGATCAACCTTAGGATCGTGTGATTTAACGACCAGAATTAAGGTATCCAGTACCAAATGACGCCCGTCAGATCTTTACTCCAAGCAAGCCACACCATTCAAACACCCAAGCTTTTCTCTCCCATAGTCGGCTCGCCTTTACAGCGCGGTGCGCCGGCGCGTCTGCCCGCAATCCATGGAAGAAAAGGGAACCGCGTCGTCACGCTCGCAGCTTCCACCAGCGGTGCGAGGCGTGGTGCGTGAGGGATGGGATCGGACGGTCAGGCGAGCTTGGAGGCGATGTCGGGCTGGCAAGATGGGATAGGAACGCTTCGGGATTGGCAATCGATGGGAAGCCGGGCTTTGTGTGATAGAACGCTGGTTCTGCAGGGGTGTTTGGCATGGAGATATCGGGGCGAAGGCTGCTAACTGGTTGTCCACCAGCTGTGGTGTAGCGAAGCTCACATGACTCCCGTGTGTACCCGTGTGCCTGTGCGTGTGTGTTGACGCGTGCAGGAGCAGGAAGCACGGACGTCGCGCCGTTCAGCTTCCTCTCCCTCGTCTTCCTCGTCTCCGTTCGACCCATTGAATGGCTCAGCCACCCATGACCGACGCCCAACGGCAAGAATTCGCCCGAGGTCAGCCCACGCGCCTCCCATCCATTCACTCATACGCATACATCCCGTCTTTCCAGCCGTCTGTCCAGCCGTCTTTCCAGCCGTCTGTCCAGCCGTCTTTCCAGCCGTCTGTCCAGCCGTCTTCCAGCCGTCTGTCCATCCGTCTGTCCAGCCGTCTGTCCAACCGTCTGTCCAGCCGTCTGTCCATCCGTCTGTCCAGCCGTCTGTCCATCCATCCGTTAGCCGTCTGTCCAGCCGTCTGTCCATCCGTCTGTCCAGCCGTCTGTCCAGCCATCCGTTAGCCGTCTATCCAGCCGTCTGTCCAGCCGTCCGTCTGTCCATCCGTCTGTCCACCCATCGGTCCATGCATGCATCAAGATAGCAGCTCATTTACATGCAATTTCCGTTCATAAACACCCAACCCCCCTTTCCTCCTCCCTCCCAGCCCCACACCCACCTAGTCCTCAGCCACCCTGTCGTTTTCCAATACACGATTCCTGGCCGTGCGAGCTCTTCCACAAGCCTAACATCCCCCCCCCTCCTTCTCTTCCCATTCCCCTCGCCACCCCCACCTCCCCCCACACCCCCCACCCCTCCGCCCTCATCCGTTGCAATCGACCCCTCAGAGCGCGCGCAGCAGCTGGTGCGGTTGATGGAGGACATAGTGGGCGTGGCGGTCAAGACGGGCCGCGCGGTGCCACGCGCTTTGTGCAAGGCGTGCAGGCTGTTGCCGCCGTCGGCTCTGACTGGCTGCTGCAACAGTTACAGGTATATCTCCTTCCTACACTCTCGCACCAACTCCCCCCCTCCTCCCTTCCCTCCCCCCCCCCAAATCCCCCACCCCCGCCTCCCCTCCCCTCCGTTCTCCCTCTCATCTAGCCCATCCCATCCTCACCCCACCTCCTCTCCCCTCCCATCCCTCTCTCCCTCTCCGTCCCTCCCCTTCCCTTTCCCCCTCCCAGGCGGTGCAGCAGCAGCAGCGCCTGGCCCCATCCACGTCTCCAATCTCCTCTGTCCAGCTGCCCGGCCCGGCTGAACTGCGCCGTCTCTTTGAGCGCCTGGGCGCAACGTACATCAAGCTGGGGCAGTTCATCGCGTCCGCACCCTCGCTCTTTCCCCCGGAGTACGTCTCCGAGTTCCAATCGTGCCTGGACCGCACGCCGCCCGTGCCGTTCGCCACGGTGAAGGGGATTGTGGAGCGCGAGTTGAAGCGGCCTCTGGCGGACGTGTTTGAGTTTGTGGACCCCACGCCGCTCGCATCAGCCTCCATTGCTCAGGTGGGCATATGAAATTTCTCAGGAATCAACTACTACTGCTTACGACTTTAAGGGGATTGAGGAGAGGGAGCTGAAGCAGCCGCTGGCTGACGTGTTTGAGTTTGTGGACCCCACGTCGCTCGTTTCGGCCTCCATTGCTCAGGTGGGCTCTCTGCTGCTTCTCGGGCTATCCCTCCATGTTTCGATTGAGGGTATTGCAATGGCCACTTCGTTGTCCCCTTGTTTCCCTTACCCTAGGACTGCCTGCCTGCCTGCCTGCCTGCCTGCCTGCCTGCCTTTCCGATTGTCTACCAGGTGCATGCGGCGAGGCTGAAGGGCAGCGGTGCGGACGTGGTGGTGAAAGTGGTGAAGCCGGGCGTGGCAGACACGCTCACCACGGACCTCAACTTCGTCTATGTCTGCGCGCGCGTGCTCGAGTTCCTCAACCCCTCCATCGAACGCACCTCGCTCGTAAGTGCCTCTCCCTTCCTTACTCCTCTCTCTCCCTTTCCTGAGCTTTCCCCTCCCTCACCCCCCCACCCCGCTCTTCCTCCCTGTTTCTGTTCTCGTCCCTCCTTGATTCTCACCCCCTGCTTCTGTTCTCCCCGCGTCCATCTAGCACGCTCTTCACCTATCCTTATATCCCTGCCCTTCCGGCCCCAACCCCCTCCCCTGCCCACCTGCTGCCCCCTCCTTCCGCCTGCCCCCCCCTTCCCGCCCACCCCCCACCCCCCAGGCGGGCGTAGTGCAAGATATCCGTACGTCGATGATGGAGGAAGTAGACGTGGGCATTCCTTTGTCCAGCCATTGTGCGCATCTTCCCCCCCCTCCCCCCTCTCTTCCCTTCCCTGTGTGCCAGGTGGGCATAGTGCAGGACATCCGCACGTCCATGATGGAGGAGGTGGACATGTCCAAGGAGGCACGCAACCTCGCTGCCTTCTCCGCGTACCTCGACTCCACGCCCTCGCTGCGCACGCTCGCCACGTGCCCGCGCGTGTACACACACGCCTCGTCCACGCGTGTGCTTACCATGGAGCGAATCAAGGGCGTGCCGCTCACGGATCTGGAGGCTCTTAAGGGGATTGTGCCCAACCCTGAGGCAACGCTTATTGCTGCGCTGAATGTGTGGTAGGTGGTGGGTGGTGTTTGGGTTGTGATCAACTCAAAGATATTGGTTTCCACATGCGTGCTCACAAAGGAGTGAGTGAAGGGCGTGCTGCTCACCGATTTGGAAGTGCTCTGAGGGATTGCTTGTGATTATCCCAGAGGCGAGGCTGATCACGGCTCGGAATGCATGGTGAGTGGCGTGGTGTTGGGTGTTTTGCTGTTGAACGAACGACGCCTCCACTCACGTGCTCACCATGTAGCGAAGCAAGGGCGTCCCGCTCACGGATATGGAGGCGCTCAAGGGTGTTGTGCCCAACCCAGAAACAACGCTGATCACTGCTGAGTGGTGTGGTGTGGTGTGGTGAGGTGTGGTAAGGTGTTGTGTGGTTTTGTGTGGTGTTGGGGTTGGGATCAGTCAATGGTAGAACTGTGAGGCATTGCGGGTGAAGGGTGCTGTGCTGAATGTGTGATAGGTGGAGGATGCTGTTTTGGGTTGTGATGAACTCAAGAGCATTGTTCCTTCCACGTGTTCTTGCGGTGGAGAGGATCAAGGGCGTGCTGCTGACGGATTTGGACCCAACCGTGCTGCTCAAGGGGATTGTGCCCAACCCTGAGGTCACGCGGATCGCTGCGCTGAATGTGTGGCCCAAAGATTTGCTGACCATCATGCTCTGCTCCTGGAAGCCCAGTCTTTCTGCCAGCTCCACCGAGTGGGTGTGCCGCGTGCGCGTGGTGTGTGTGTGTGGTGTGTGGGTACGTTCACTGCGTGCCGGCGCTCACGTGTGAAGCTCCTAGGGTTTTCATTCAAGATCACCCTTCTCATGTTTGAAACGAATCCCACCCCTCTTACCACATCTCGCCCTCCTTGCATATCTCCTCTCTCCCCCCCCTCTCCCTCCTCTCCCTCCTCTCCCTCCTCTCCCTCCTCTCCCTCCTCTCCCTCCTCCCCCTCCTCCCCCTACTCCCCCTCCTCTCCCTCCTCCCCCTCCTCCCCCTCCTCTCCCTCCTCCCCTGTGCATGTGTGTGTGCGTGTGACAACAGGTTCGGCAGTCTGTTTGCATGTGACACCTTCCATGCGGATGTGCATGCTGGCAACTTGCTCGTGCTCAATGATGGCAGAGTTGCATTCATTGACTTCGGTGAGCAGTCGATGTTATCAGAGTCACAACCCATAGGGCGGCCCCAAACCTTAACGTGCCCTGCAATCAAAACTTTGCCCTCCCCCGCCCCCCCGGCACACACCCATGCATGCACGCTCACATCCAATCTGCCATCTACCCAATCACCATGCAGGCATCGTGGGGCGGGTATCTCCCGACACCTGGGCGTCTCTGGCCACATTCCTGGCATCCATAGGGTCGGGCGACTATGACGCCATGGCCTCTGCACTCATCGGCATGGGCGCCACAGCTGACAGTCGCACCATCGACACAAGGGCCTTTGCCAACGACCTCAGACAACTGTTTGAAGCTGTGGAGGTGAGTGAGACTGTAAACGGTGATAGTTTTCTGTTCCCCATCAATCCTCTTTCCCTTTCCTCCCCCCGATCTCGATTCCCCATTTCCCACATTTCCCTTTCCCCTATTCCCATTGCCCTCCCTCCTTCCCGCACCCCATCGATAGGACCTGGACCCTCAGGTGATAGTGACAGCCACCCAACAGCAGCCCATGGGGGGAGGCATGCCAGGGAGGGGCTCAGGCAGTGCCACGGCTACGGTGTCAGCAGCAGTGGCAGTGGACGAGCAGCAGATCAATACTCTGCTGCTGCAACTTGTAAGCAAACGAGCAAAGCAACCAAGGAGTCTGGTTTTTTTTTTTTTTTTTTTTGGGGGGGGCTTTTAGTGATCCCAGGAGGAAATCCGGCCGCCTTTCCCACGCCGGTCAGCTGCAGAACCCTTTCAACATTCCGTGCAAAGGTGCCGAATTGAGTTCGCAACTCACGTGGGTTGGTTATAAAAACTCGTACACCTTTGGTTGTAGCGTCGCAGGGTGTCCCCGCCTCGCCCGTGTTGCGGAGGGTAGACTACACCTGGTGAAGCATGAGGTAGTGCGGTGCTCCGCTAAAACCCCCACCCATCACCGAAGCGCGTGCCTTGTTGCGAGGACAGCCGTACCCAGATGGGCGTTGGCAAGGAACCTGCTAGCCAGCTGTGGCATAGATCTTGTCTTGAGACGCCTCGAACCTGTGTCATATGCTTGTGGTGCTCCTTCACTGGAGCCCCCGAGCGCTCACCTCCGGCTCTGGACACACCATATTGTGCATCCCGCGCTCTTTTTCTGCCTTACTGGACCTCCTGTTGCAGTTTTGAGGCGCCCCAAAACTAGACTCCTATCACGCTATTCGTAACCCACCCGCCCCGCCAGCTCATTTGCTCCCCCCACCCACTCCACCCCGTTCCCCCCTCTCAGGTGCGCGTGAGCGAGGGGTACGGGCTGCGCTTCCCGCGTGAGTTCGGGCTGCTGCTAAAGCAGCTGCTCTACTTTGACCGCTACACGCGCCTCCTCGCACCCTCCCTCAACGTGCTCGACGACGCGCGCGTCAGCATCAGACCCCCTCCCTCTGCTCCCGGACCTGGGGGCAGTGGGTCATACTCAGGCTATGGACGCCCGGCCTTCTAGCTCTGACGATATCGAGGTGCCTAGAAAGGGGTCCCTGTCCCGCGTATGGAAGAATCTTACCAGGCGCCTGTAGGCGCCCCTGTGTAGAGGGCTGGTTGTTGATGCCTGGTCAATGGGGGCCGGCCAGCCTTATTCAGACACAAGGCAGATGAGCTGTGCATGGCGTGGCGGTGAGGGGAGAGAGTTGGGAGACTGTCGGTGCGGTTGCAGCAGACGATGTAAAATGTGGGGTTTCTTCTGTTTGTGTTGAAACCGGAACAGGAAAGGAGGGCTGCTTTCTATATGGTATGAGAACTCTCTACATCAACCAGGGAAAGTGCAGGATGAAGAACCCAGTGTCTGGAAAAGAAACTTTCACATTGCTACTCCAGAACTCTTACAGAACAAACCCCACAGTATGCAAACCCCCCAGGATGTAACTACGGTACGTGGACCAGCAGGCTTTGCAGCGGTTGAGTGCTCTTTGAGAATTCCACAAAATTGTGCCATGTGAGCCAACACCTGATATGAGGAAGGTGTTAAAGTAAGAACTGAATGATACTAGAAGTTGAAACGTAGAACAAATACTAGTTGGTTGTACTCACTAGATGCATACCTCAGTCTAGCCTATAACTTCTACATAGCTAATATGTATAAGTTGACACACCCCCTAGGCTAGACAAGGGGTGAAGCTAAGCAAGAAGCAAACAGCTCAGGGTGGCACTACTAGTCTAACCACTGAGGTAGGGGTCTGGAGACCAGTCAGCAAGAAGACAAACAAAACTAAAGCAAGCCAGGGCGGCATTGTCAAACATGTGTATCTCCTATGTTTGCATAGACTGTATAGGGCCAACTCTTAGAGGGTACAACACTTAGGTATTTTCACCTGTACTCTCTCTCTACTCATTATTCAGCGCTCACTTTGATATGGTATCACGCGTAAGTTAGGATCCCCTACCTATCGCTTCCGCCCGTACCCTAGCTAGGCCCCGTCGCGCCCCTCCTAGCCCAGTCGCGCCCCCTCCTGGGCCTTGCCGCGCCTCCTAGCCCAGTCGCGCCCCCCCTGGGCCCTACCGTGCCTCCTAGCCCCCGTCGCACCCCTCCTGGGCCCCGTCGCGCCTCCCAGCCCCGTCGCGCCCCTTCCGGGCCCCGTCGCGCCTCCTAGCCCAGTCGCGCCCCTCCTGGGCCCTGCCGCGCCTCCTAGCCCAGTCGCGCCCCCTCTGGGCCCTACCGCGCCTCCTAGCCCCGTCGTGCCCCTTCTGGGCCCCGTCGCGCCTCCTAGCCCAGTCGCGCCCCTCCTGGGCCCTGCCGCGCCTCCTAGCCCAGTAGCGCCCCCCCTGGGCCCTACAGCGCCTCCTAGCCCCGTCGCGCCCCTTCTGGGCCCCGTCGCGCCTCCTAGCCCAGTCGCGCCCCCCCCCTGGGCCCTGCCGCGCCTCCTAGCCCCGTCGCGCCCCTCCTGGGCCCCGTCGCGCTTCCTAGCTCAGTCGCGCCCCCCTGGGCCCTGTCGCGCCCCTCCTGGGCCCCGTCGCACCCTGCCTGGCCCCGCCGCGCCTGCCTGGCCCCGCCGCGCCTGCCTGGCCCTGCCGCGCCTGCCTGGCGCCCATCCCAGCCGGCCCCGCGCCCGCCCTCGTGACCTCTGCGCCCGTCTGCTCGGCTCCTGCACCCGTCCCAGCCGGCCCCGCGCCCGTCTCGTCGGCCTGGTGCCCACTGCTTCTGGCCCCTGCGCCCGTCCTGCCCCGAGCTGTGTGCGGCCCGCTCGTCGTCCTGCCCCGGCCCTGCATCCTCCCTGGTACTGTTCCTCCTTATCTGCACCGCACTGCACAGCACTGCACCGCACTGCGCTGCACGGTACTGCTCTGCACCGCACTGCACCGCGCTGCACCGCACTGCACCGCCCTGCACCGCACTGCACCACGCTGCACTGCACTGCACCGCCCTGCACCGCGCTGCACCGCACTATACAGACCTGCACTGCTCCTGATGGCGGCGGAGCTTCGCTTCGACGCTGAAGGCCAGCCTCTGGAGTTCGAGGCGTGGCTCGCCGATCTCCGTCGCCACCTCACTGGTCATCGGCAGGATGGCCACCCGCTTTTCGCACACCTTGACGGTACGCTCCCCTGCCCAGACCCCCTTGCTACTCTGCCCGCTAACCCCACACCCGCTGAGCGCGAGTCTACTGCAGCCACTGCCCTTGCGCGCTCTGTCTGGCTTCCCCGAGACGCTGTCGCTCAGCTTGCCATTAGCAATGCCCTTCCCCCGTGTGAGCGCCCTCGCTTTCGGTCCCTCACTACCGCCCAGGCTTACTTAGATGCTGTCATCAAGCGCTATTCCACCCCTCCTGCTGCCTCGGTCGGTCGCCTGATCCTCCCGATGCTCTTTCCCGACCTTGCGTCTTTCCCCACTGTCTCTGACCTAGCTGCCCACCTGCGCACAATAGATGAGACCTGGCGCGCTGCCTGCACTGACACACAGCTTAGAGCCCACTAGCCGCCCATTACCTCTACCCTCTACCTGCTTGCCACCCGCCTCCCTGACCGCCTTGCCGCCGCCCGCGACCGCTTCCTTAGCATTCAACTCGATGAGCTCACCCTCACCGACTTTGTAGACACCCTGACTGTTATTCACACCCGCCACCGCTCCATCGCCCAGGCGAGCGGTACCGTGCCAGTCCCTATCTTTCAGGGTTGTGCCCCCGCTCAGTGTACCTTCTCAGACGGTTCTGTCGCTGTGGCTGAGACTGCTGCTGCAGCGCAGTTTCGTTCGGGGAAGGGCCGCCGCCCTGAGGCTCGGCACGGCGGAGGAGGCGGGGGTGCAGGAGGGGGTGGTGGTGGAGTCGGGTCGTCTGGTGCTGGAGCGGACGAGGGGACCCTGCCCAGTCCAGCTGAGCCGCCGCCTCCGCAGTCGCAGCAGCAGCAGCCCCACCAGCCGCAGCAGTCGTAGCAGCCGCACCCTCCGCAGCAGCCGCAGCAGTCCCCGCAGACGAGGCAGGCGAGTGCCCTCCCGCCCGGGTGGCCTGGCACTGGAGGTGGTCGGGCGCGTGGTGGTGTGCCGAGTGGTGGTTCGGGAGGCGTGTGTTGTCAGTACCAGATCCAGACCGGTCCTCGCCGCGGCTTCGTTTGCGGTAAGATCGGTCATACCACTCCCCGCTGTTTTCGTCGCTTGGACGACCTGTTCCGTCAGCGCTACGGCCCGTCGCCAGACCTCCCGGACTGGCACAGTTTGCTTAGTCGTAGGATTCAGATTTTTTACATGGACATGGATGCCATTGTTTCCGCTCTGCATGTGATGTATGCTGATGACTCTAGTGCGCTCACCGATTATTACTCACTGTCGTCTAGTGTAGGTGTGCCTAGCTTAGCCTCCCCTGCTGCGTTAGGCGTAGGATCCCCTGCTTTGTTTAGCCTTGGTGCTTCCGCCGTTGCCCCGTCGCCGGACGCCACTGCTTCCCTTTCCTTCACCTTGGACTCTGGCGCTTCCCGGTGCTTCTTCCGCGACTCTACTACACTGACGCCGCTTCCTGTTCCTGCTGCTGTTTCTCTTGCTGACCCTCTGGCGGTCCGGTAGTCGCCCGCAGTTCCACCACCCTTCCCTCTCCGGCGGTTCCTTCGGGCTCTCTTACAGGTCTGCATATCCCCTCGTTCTCCAGGAACCTAGTTGGTGTCGGCTGCCTTCAGGACCTTAGCGTCACCACTACGTTCCCTGGTCACGAGCGGTATGCTGTCTGTAACGAGGCCGCCACTGGTGCCCCCCTGTTCACGTTCCCCCGGGATCCGGTGTCCGGCCTGTTCACTCTGAACACCGTGACCCCCCCGGCTGGGGCGCCCCCTCAAGTGGTTGCGTCTACCCAGGTTGCTGCTGCCTGCTCCTGTCGGTTCCTCACCCACCCGACTCTCCTTTGGCACCACCGCCTAGGTCACCCTGCGCTCCCGCGTCTGCGTCACATGTCCACGCACGGTCTCGTCCTTGGTCTCCCTGGTTCTCTCCCCGCTTTTCCCTCCTCCCCAGCCCCACCTTGCACACCTTGCGTCGAGGGTCGGCTTCGCCATGCCCCTCACTCCTCCTCGTTTCCCCCTACCGCCGCGCCGCTGCAGACCCTGCACATGGACGTCTGGGTCCCCGCCCCGTCCATGGGCCGCGTCGAGAGCGCTACTTCCTTGTGCTTGTCGACGACTTCACTCGCTACACCTCGGTCTTTCCCCTGGAGCGGAAGGCCGATGTGCCTGCCGCTCTCATCCCCTGGCTTGTCTCTGCGCGTGTCCACCGAGGTCTCCCTGTCTTGCGCCTTCACTCTGACTGTGGTGGCGAGTTTGCCTCAGGTGTCCTTGGTCGCTTTTGTCGTGCGGAGGGCATCACCCAGACGTTCACCCTACCGGACTCCCCACAGCAGAATGGGGTCGCTGAGCGACGCATCGGTTTGGTCATGGAGGTCGCTCGCACCTCCATGATCCATGCCGGTGCACCCCATTTTCTGTGGCTGTTCGCTGTGCGCTACGCTTCTCACCAGCTTAACCTGTGGCCGCACCCCCAGCAGCCGCAGGTTTCGCCGACCCGTCTTTGGATTGGGTCTCCTGGTGACGCGTCTGCGTTCCACGTCTGGGGCTGCCTTGCTCATGTCCGTGCCTTCGGCACGGACAAGCTCACTCTCGCACCCTTCCCTGCGCCTTCCTCGGTTTTCCGCTTGACACGTCCGACTGGCACTTCTACCACCCGCCGTCTCACCGCTTCTTTCACTCTCGAGACGTCACCTTTGACGAGTCCGTCTCCTTCTACCGTTGCTTCCCCCACCGCGGTCCCCCGGTTAACCCCCCCCTATTCCTGGTCACTCCTTCCCCGGTAGTCCCTGCACCCCCCCCTCCTCCTCCCCGTCCTGCTCCCTCTGGTGTGTCCCATGTCACCCCTCTTCCGTCGGTGGTCCTGGTTGAGGAGTCTTCTGACTCTGGTGGTCCTGCGGCGCAGTCCTCGCCCGCTCCCCCTCCCCAGGCGTCCCCTCCTCCAACGCCTCTGCCGCCGCCGTCGCCCCTGCTGTCGCAGCCGTTGTCACCTCCGCCGCCGCCGCTGCCGCCGCCGCAGTCGCTGCACCCGTTCGTTGACTCTGGGGGTGCTGGCGTTGGGGTGCGTGCTAGTCCCGGTAGCCCTGGGGGTGGTACTGATTCTCGAGGGGTTTCGGGCCCTGGGGGTGTTCCCTCTAGCGTGGAGTGTGCCGGTGGTAGCCGAGGAGCAGCTTGCGGTCCCGGTGTCGGCGTTGTGCCGCCGCAGCAGCAGTCCCCGCCGGTGTCACCCTCAGGGACTAACAGCATGGAGCAGAGATGGGAGCAGCCTCGGAAAGGAAAGCAAGCTCGTACTGC